TATGGAAGTACATGACGGCTAACTAACTGATGTTACAGATAGATACATAATTATATAACAGTCAACCATCTTTCATCAATCAATTGATTGTATGGAAGTACATGACAGCTAACTAACTGATGTTACAGATAGATATATAATTATATAACAGTCAACCATCTTTAACCAAATAATTGATTATATGGAAAAACATGACGGCTAACTAACTGATGTTACATATAGATGCATAATTATATAACAATCAACTATCTTTAACCAATTAACTGATTATATGGAAGTACATGACGGATAACTAACTGATACTAAAGATAGATACATAATTATATAACAGTCAACCATATTTAACCAATCAATTGATTATATGGAAAAACATGACGGCTAACTAACTGATCATACAGATAGATACATAATTATATAACAGTCAACCATCTTTAACCACTCATTTCATTATATGGAAGTACATGAGGATTAACTAACTGATGTTACATATAGATACATAATAATATAACAGTCAACCATCTTTTACCAATCATTTCATTATATGGAAGTACATGACGGCTAAGTAACTGATGCTACAGATAGATATATAATTATATAACACTCAACCATCTTTAGCCAATCAATTGATTATATGAAAATACATGACGGCTAACTAATTGATGTTACAGACAGATGCATAATTATATAACAGTCAACCATCTTTAACCAATCAATTGAGTATATGGAAGTACAACACGGCTAAGTAATTGATGTTACAGATAGATACATAATTATATAACAGTCAACCATCTTTAACCAATCATTTCATTATATGTAAGTACATGACGGCTAACTAATTGATGTTACATATAGATACATAATTACATATCAGTCAACCATCTTTAACCTATCAATTGATTATATCGATGTATACGACGACAAACTAACTGATATTACCGATAGATATATAATTATATAACAGTCAACCATCGTTAACCAATCAATTGATTATATTAAAATACATGACGGCTAACTAACTGATGTTACAGATAGATATATAATTATATAACAGTCAACCATCTTTAAACAATCAATTGATTATAATAAGAAGCATGACGGCTAACTAACTGATGTTACAGACAGATACATAATTATATAACAGTCAACCATCTTTAACCAATCAATTGATTATATGGAAGTACAACACGGCTAAGTAATTGATGTTTCAGATGGATACATAATTATATAACAGTCAACCATTTTTAACCAATCATTTCATTATATGGAAGTACATAACGGACAACTAAATGATTCAACAGATAGATACATAATTATATAACAGTCAACCATTTTTAACCAATCATTTCATTATATGGAAG